AGAAATCTATTGATTTAAAGAAGATCTCTTTATTTAATAAAAATTTCTTGAAGATTTCTTAACTTAAAAGAAATTTCTTAGAAATTTCTTGATTACTAGTAAAATGAATTCGTTTATGATCTTGTGGTATAAGTGTCATTGATTCTTTATATGTTTAATATGACTCTTTAGAAAGAAGTGTTTGGTTATGATAGATTGTGATAAGATTCTCCATTGCTTAATTCTCGAGAATCTTTGATTTTACGATCTTTTTTATCGTTGTTTGAGGTGAGATAGAAAAGGAAAAATTCTCTTGTGTGAGGGAAAATATTTTTACTAGTTTTTGGTTGCTCTTACCAGACTCTTTATTACTCTTGATTTTTGTTGTCATTTTGGTTATCATCGTGGAATTCTCTTATATGGTTAGGAATCTTTATTGCTCTCGGGTTTCTTGGATTTTAGGATACTTTAGTGGTTGCCTCTTACTTGACTGGATGGACTTGGTTTCCCCCTTTCAAGGCCTTTAAAGTTCTGCCCAAGACTTTCTTCTTCATGGATCTATCCCTTAATATGAACTTAAAAATCTTCTTTGAGTTTATTAACTCATGTTTTTGTGATACTCTATCTATAAAGCCTAAAAATATATTGAATCGGATCCATACTAGGCTTACTTCCATGTGGACTTTGCTCACTTTATATGATCTTTATTTCCACTTAAATGGACCAAACCGTGAGAATCTCCCTTGGAATGGACCTTTTTCGTGACTTTCATCATTTATGTTGCCTAAATCGTGCCCTTTTAAGTTCATGAAGTCGTGAGCTTTTATGTGATCTTCTATGTGATGGATTGTAATATGTGCATAACATGCAGCGAAATATAAAAATAACAATTCAATCTGATATATTTGTACTTAAAAATTATATTGCAAATCAAAGATCAAATTTAAAACATACCTGATAGTGGATTTTCAAATTAAAATTGTTCAAAAATACGAACATTATGCGTATCCACACCGAAACCAACTTTTTCTGTTCAAGTCTTTGATTAAGAGAACGTACGAACAAATTAAATAATATAAATATGTTAAAATTTTCTAATAAAATCTTAACAGAGAATTCACGGATTTTTTTTATTGTGCTAACGGATTTTTAATTCTTTTCTCTCACTCTTTAAAAAACCCACCCGCATATATAGGTGCCATGGCTGGAGGAGTCCATATTGGACTCTTCCGGTGGACGTCCAAATTTTATTTGGACTCTTCCACTGTTTTTTTTTTTTTTTTTTTTTTATAGCACTTAAATATTTACATATGTATCTCATATATATATATATATGTATATGTTTATCCTTTTTAATTATTATTATTTAACAAAATAATTTTATAAACTAATTTAATTTTAAATTAAATTTTATAATAATCTCAATTATTATAATAGCTATACATATTATATTATTATACTAAATAATATAATAACTAAAATATAAATATTAATTTTTCTATTTTAAAAATAAAAAAATTCAATTTATTCATAATATTAATTATATTGGTGCTAGTAAAAAAATATAATAATATTTCTATTTAAACTAAAAAATTTATTTATTTAATTAAATTTAAATTTTTTAATTAAATTTTCAAATAATTTAAAATAATTTAATATATTTAGCAAA